AGTTCACAAGATGCAAAAGGTTTTAGACCTCTGCTTTAAAACAGATATATCTAATATTTATTCAATTACATGTGCTTTTATTTGTCAAAAATATCTTGAAAAACATGTTCTCACGGTGTGCAGGGTCACCTTTGCACAGATCTAACCCGTAACTTGGCCCGCTGGTGACCCCTTTTTGTCTCTGTGGAGATAAAGTTTAATGGCATACTGTGGAAAATTGTGGGCGCTATAGATAGGAATTGGGTTTATAGTCATTTTAAGTCATGTAATTTGGGGAAAATAATTACATAATTGGACCCACATATTGGTATCTTCAGCTCTGTATTCTAAAAGAAATGATATCGCCCATGAAAAAAAACCAAAAAAAACAATTTCTTTCTATCTCTAGTAACAGGTGTACCACATCCCCCCTCCACACACATGTACAGAGCCTATATAGTTTGTGTTTGCAGTTTTGGCTCAAAATAGAGAGGAATCTAGGCCAGTCCCCACCCACATACAGACCTTATCTCTTTGTTTAAATAACACTGGCTATACATTAGGGCTGCAGTTATTTAGACAGGCAAACATAATTTCCAAACAACAAATTATCATGCCTTTTCCTGTAAAAACCTGTTCTGAAATGCATGGGATTCCTGGATTAGTTTAGGGTTAAGCAATCATATTTCAGTCTTCTCAAACATCACTTCTTCTGATCATGTTTAAAATGTGAACTTTGAACAAAATACAATTATCAAAACAAAAATCGCAAATCAGATTTAGAGGTGGGACCAAATCGTTGTTTTTCAAGTCTCGAGTAAGTCTCAAGTCTTTGACCTCAAGTCTGAGTCAAGTCCCAAGTCAAAAACAGGCAAGTCCAAGTCAAACCTCGAATCACTGGCCCATAAGTCTAAGTCCAGTCCAAGTCGTCTGCTTTGAGCTTCAAGTAATTTCAAGTTTTTAAGCCAAAGTAACAAATATAGCTTAGATTTTTGCAATTTATATGACTTTTAAGATGTGAATCATTATAGTCAGAACAGAAAGAATTCAGATTTAAAAGTGCTTCCCAAGTCTTCTCAAGTCACAGGCCTTTAGTCCAAGTGAAGTCCCAAGTCACTGACCTTCAAGTCGCGTATCAAGTCAAGTCTCAAGTCCTAAAAATAGTGACTTAAGTCTGACTCGAGTCCAAGTCACAGCTTGCAAGTCCCCATCTCTGATCAATTTGGACTTGCAGTACCTGTCTGCCTGCCTGATATTTTTCCAGAAACGCTCAGCACTACATGTACAATACATCCACGACACACTTCACGTAGGAGAGGTCACCTTTAGTTCAGGGCTGTCGGGAAAGTCCAGAGAGAGAGAGAGAGAGAGAGAGAGAGAGAAACGAGGAGGGGTGTGGGGGACACCGTGACAGACACAGGTCAACCTAAATGTGTCTTTCCTCTGTTTTAGACACAATAGTACAGGTTGTGTTCATGTTCTGGGGCTTGGGCCAATATAACTGGATTAAAAACTGGACTGTAAAATTACTATTATAGAAGGTTCCATTAGATTTTGAATTTTACATACCACTGAATTTCTCACTTTGATTTTTTTTTAAAACTCTGAATAAACATGTGTGAATAATTTAGATTCTGAACTTTAGTTGCAGAAATTTTAAGTGTTCATTGTGTTTAAAGTTCAATATATATGTTTTTAAAAGTCAATATTAAAAAAAATCACCTTTTAAATATTCAGCACAAATATGTTCAAGCCCTCAAATTCAACAGTCAGAATCCAGAGACACAAGATCAATTGCTTCTGCCTTGGCATCTTGGATCTTAGTTGTGAAATATTTCACTGTGAATTTTACGCTCTGAATTTTGACATTTTAACATACTGAAGCATATTGAAAAAGTAGACTTGAAATTTCAGCAACTAAAATTCATAATAAAAAATATTCAGGCATCTTTTTTCAGTGTTAAAAAATTCAGAATGAGAAATTCCAAATATAATGGAAAAAAATATCTTCCATAACTGCTGGGAAAAGGTAATTAAACTTTTTTTTTTTTTTTTTTTTTGAGAAGACGAGGTTCTGTTTCACGTGATAGGCCCAGCAATTACAGAGATTTGAATAATAGACCAGGTCAACAAATCTACCACTTAATTCTAACCTGTCCTCCAGCTCCGTTTTAAACTATAGGGCTCCTAGGCTGTTGTGGTGTAATGTGAAACCCACCTTTAGTCAAAACAGTCAAACATCACATCATATATTAAATTGGTTTGTAGTTTTGTCCCTTTTTCTTACCATTCAACTACAAATGACAGTAGAGATGAAAACTAGCCTGCAGCAATGACACATGTTAATGAATATGCACTGTTCCATATTCATTACAACAAACATGTCCTTTATTCTTGATTTACTATATGAATTATTTACACACAATTGACTCTTGTGAGGTTTAAGTGATGTTACAATGTTGTTTTCTCATCAAAAACACACTTGAAGTTGTGTTTTGTTTCATTCACACATTTATCCTTTATTATTGGGCAATCCTTTATTACACTACAAATATACTTCGGAACAAAGCAATGTATTGTGCTTTAGATTCATGTTACTGTACTCAAAAGCAGAAGGTTACAGAGTCAGACCAGGCCTCACAAATGCTGTAATTGAATAGACTCTGATGAAATGTTTGCAAAGTCATAAAAGTCCTGTTCTGGCCTGCCTCCAGATTGTAACGAGTTTGTCCTTGACAAATGTTAAACCATCGGTCAAGGTCTGTTCAGGAGGCTTAAGGAGGCAGCTGACAGCGGAGCAACACAATGCAATTTTCCTCCAATAAGACGCACCATAGACACAATATTATTAAACTATGTAGTAGTAATATAGTTTTGTTTAGTGGTGCTTGTTGACAGACGATGATCCATTGTATAGAAACCACTTACAGACTGAAGGTGACTCATGAGTTTATATTGGTGCATTCATATAATCTAAATGTATTCCTCAGATCATCTCTTGGACTGAAGTGGACCGTTGGCTCATGGGTCTCCCTGTTATGGGTCTGACCATCTGGATGCAAATGATGATGAAATTTAGGACATTTTATTGCAACTGTTGAAGATATGCAAATTTACATTTGAGCATCTTACTCAATGTATCCTTGGGCTCCATAGAGATGTTACTCCTTTGCCTTGAATGTTGAGTATGGCATTAATCAGTTTTGCATTTATTCAATAACAGGTGTTTCTAATGCTAAAAAAAGAACTGAATTGAAAATATTGATTCTTTCTGTGAGTGGGCTCGCCTTTCCACAAATTTGCTTTCCCTGGAGAGGTTCCACTGCTCTTGAATAAATTGTTTTCTTTGAAACATACTTTCTAAACAACTGCAGAATGATCATCCTTGGACTAATCGTTGCAATATTGAGATGTTGTGATGTGGAGACAGGTCTGGGTTTGTGAATCAGTGGGTCACTGGGTCACCTACACTGGACAGGGTTTCCTCTGAGGCCTGAAAGCTCAGCACAGAAACACTGCAGAAAAAGAATACCACACCTTATTATTCATAATGATTTATAATGAATGAATATGATATCCATTATTTTTCATGCTTATTCAAGTATTCACCATGAACTATGCCCTGCTGTATTTTGTAACATAATTTAAATATTAGTTTAGGGATACAATGAATTAATTATATTTACTATGTTGATCTGGCCCAAATTAACAATGATTTTTCATATTGAAGTAATTTACTGGTTGCTGTTTTTATTTTCTGCAGTGCTGATGGTTGGAGGAGGAGCATTATTTTTGCAGTGATGGTTGTTGGAGGAGGGAGGCCCCGTGAGGGGTGCACACAGAGCACAGACCCTCTGATAGTGAGGTGGCACCTGGAGACCGAGGCTGTGTTTAAACTCCATTAGAAGAGCAGACCTCTAATTAAACCAATGTTTTAATTAGGATTTGAGCAGCGAGGAAGTGGAGGAGGAGTACGATCAGACACTTATACACCCATGGATTTCAACAACCAACAGTACATATATGTTTCAATCAAATATATTTTGTATACTCTTTAAAATGGCTTCAGATAAGAATATTTGTCTAGGCTGGAGTTGTTTTGTTTTAGATTTCAGTCGCTGCTTCTTGCATTTGCACCTCTAAAGATGTCACATTGGTGTGCGTTTGTTGTTTGATGGATTTCATATGAGTCAGAGAATGCTTTTTACTTTTTTCAGTCATTTATTTAGCTCAGAATAGAAAAATTAATTTGCCTTGAAACTTTTCGAAACAAGTGCTCTATACCCGAAACTACTGAAACAAAGATGAACATCATGAATTAGTCATTTTAACTTCCGGATGCAGATATCCATATTCATTTGCAGTGTTTTGGTGTATTTCATCAGCTAGAGTTTCTCATTAACTTTATTAGTGTGGCAAACAAAAAGCTTGCCAATAAGATATTTTACCTGTTTATAAGTTTGTTTGATCGTGATGCAGATTCCCAGACATGGCTCCAAAGTACTGGCCATTCTAAAGGTGCACTGTAGCTGTAAATGTTTGACTTCAGCTACATTTCTGTCATCAGTAATCATTTGCTGGCCTTGTACATTGCAAAAATATGAGGGGTGAAATGTGACTTAAATCCAAAAGAAACTAAAGTCAAGTACAAATTTTAAAAAACATGCTTGATATATCTTTTCTGCAGTGGAGTCACATTCGCAGGACAGTAATAAAACATTCCTGAATCGCTTTAAAATGATCTTGAGCTGTATCACAAGTATAAGAGACTAGACCATATGATATATAAAAGAAAGTACTATGATTTAATGTTGAAAACCCCATTTGAGAGAGTGTTTTTTATAATCATATTAATATCAGAATCTGTTTTGAGTATTGAGTATCGAGTAATTTTCCTTAGTATCGAAATCTTGTTTGAAATGTTTAATAGTTATGGCATTATAACCAGTTAAATGCTGTATAATATCCATGTTTTGAATCAAATCAACATTTTAACACTTGTCTTGTGTTTTGTCTTCCAGCGGCAGATGGCGTGCCAGTCCAGAAGGATGGAGAGCAGGTCAGTGTTTAACAGCCACACACAGATGGCGTTTTTCCAAAGTGGACCGGACTTTGGAAAAATGGCATTCCCCAGCGGCACTCCACTCCCGGGGGGAATGTTACTGCTGCTTTAAGTCCTGCTCCGTGTGAGGAAACTACATGTGTCCAGTGTGGAGTACACAGTTTTATAGAGTAGCCAGCTCCATGTGAACCCCAGTCTGCTCAACACTGTTTCACAATGAGATAAACACTCACCCATTCTTTTGACTCATTGCTTGATGCTTAATTTCCATATCACTGCAAAAAAAACAACAACTCTACAATGGTTTAAAATGACTTGAATTCACAATATAAATCTGAATTTTTATATATTTGGTTAGATACTATTGCTAATTGGAGCCTAGTTTAGTAATGATGTAGATTTGATCCCAGTTTTTTCCTGGTTTAGTTCCAGTTTTACTTCAAAATTGTGACATGCTGTGATGTTTTATGGGTAGTGCTTTATTTTACAGCTCAGTAATAGCATGGTAATGATGTGGAAATAGCAACAGTAATGGTAACTCTGTGTCATTATAGTTAATAGTAGTAATTACATGGTAGAACAGGACACATCTGTAATTCCACTGTATTTAGTTTTATTAAGACTAAACCAAACCCAGTATTTTCATAATTGTTATACGGAAATGGGGTTAGAAAATACCTATATCGGAGTTACTAAATTTCCCTCCTATTACCATTTATCTTAAAATTATAAGGTAAAATCTGCCAATGGGGTAAGACCAATTTTCTTAACTAAATGGCTAAGAATGGAAAAGCAGTGTATTGGTAACTAACAAGTGAGAAACAACTTAAAACAAGTCAAAAGTCAACCAAAAAAATGCAAAAACTACTGAAATTACGATAATATTGTGATTCAAGTCATTTTAATTCATGAAGATAATTCCTTTTTGCAGTGTTCGAATCATCTCTTTCTATTAGCCATGTTCTCTCTCTTTGCTTTCGCCTATAATTTCCTTTCCTTTTTTTCCTGGTTAACTGATCTGTGCCACTGAAGACACAGGAGAGGCGACCATTTTGGACGCAAATACACAGAACTCAGCTTTTCCTCCAAATGCACCGTGGACGATCATTTATTTATGCATCGTGCCCCAGAATGCCCTTCAACTGGAAAATACCAAGAATGCACACACAACCATTTTGAGTACTGTAAAAATAACATACAAGACTTTAATGGCTTGAGTTCTGCGTTTAAACTTAATTAGTTTAAGTTGATCCAAAGTAAGTTTTCTTTTTTATTATTTTCTTGAACCATTTTTCCATATAATAAAGTAAAAAGTGTGTTGCCCCAGTACAGATACACTAATATATTGTAAAATCAAAATCAGACCGCTGTGTTTATTATGTTTATTTGTATTTATTTTGACCTCCATTAGCTGTGGAAGTACCGCTATTCTCACTGGAGTCATTGTCTTTTATGAGGCTTTTACATACATAATTTACATCATAATAGCAAAAGATATATAAATACAAACACATAACAATAAAAAAACAGACAAACACAAACACACCCTGGATCTACTTCATAATGATGTTATTAGGTGCTGTCTGTGTCTAATTATTACTTGTTTTTATCATCCGCAAAGTAATGTTGGTGCGTTGTAATATTATGTGGCATTGGAGCTGTACAATGCCCAGTTAAAGGGACAGTTCAGAATTTTGGACATAGGGCCTCATTTCCTAGTGAGTCAGAGTGTTGGAGACATGTGGAGACACTTTTTAAAATATTCCATCCAGTCCTTGTATTTGCAGAGGTCGCTGGCGCTAGGTTAGTGCATGTCAACGGCCATAGTTATCCTGCCACTAAACACTCCACAAAACACCTGAAGCAAATCTATTATTACACCAGATTGTCGATGTAAATGTCTGTGTCGATAGAATAATGTTTGAAATAAAACTAACCTTGCATCTCATGAATCGTCTCATGCTGAGGGACTATTTTCTCATATATCAGTCCGCCACTGCCAAGTTTTCTATCGGGAAGTACAAGTCGCTGCTGCTGCTCAGACATAAATCCTTCAAGTGCAAGGCTGGTTTTACTTCTAAAATTATTCTATCGACACAGACATTTACATCAACAGTTTGGAGTAATAATAGATTTTCTTCGGGTGTTTTGTGGAGTGGGTAATACTGTTTTTAGTGGCAGGATAACTATGGCCATTGACATGCACTAGTCTAGCACCAGCGACCTCTGAAAATACAAGGACTGGATGGAATATTTTAAAAAGTGTCTCCACATTTCTCTCTGGCTCACTAGGAAATGAGATCCTATGTCCAAAATTCCAAACTGTCCCTTTAATAGCGGAGTACAAAATGTACAGCAGTAATAGCCAAACAACAGCAACAAGAATTAATGAAACTATAGGCTGAAAGCATGGATCAGAAGATTTAATCTAAACAAAGCAAGTCAAAGCAAGATTCATATTTTAAATTCAAGCTCTTCTTACAGATCTGTTGTTTTTGCAGTGTGTGAGTCAGGGTTATATGAAAGCGCATAGGAAAAGCTGCTTTAAGGGCCGCAGCTTTACCAGCCGACTGTGTTAAACCTGTCAATGCATGCACTGACTGCCGTGGAGGGAGAGGAGCAGAAATGTGAGGGTGTGATGGAGGGAGCGAGGGAAAGAGAGAAGGAATGGATGTGTGCATAGAGTAGAATTACAAGAAAAAGACTGAAAAGGAGAACAGGAATAGAAAGAGGGAGGCTTTTATTGATTAACATGGGCGATCTGGAGAGAGTGTGATGAGATATGCTACCTGCTTTTTCACTATGGAGTAAGATTAGATTACACAGTCTGTACATTGCACACAAGTAAACAATTTAACGTAATACAGGAATCGTTGGAGCGGTTATGAAGATAAAGTTCTGAATGGATATGAGGAGACGAGGATGAGAGAACAAGGTTATACAATTAGCTCAGGGAGGGTTCACACTTGCTCATGTAGATTTGGTTTAGTCCTGTTCCTGTTCTAGTTCTGGTTTTTGTACTGGGTTAATGCTGTGTCCTCTCAGAATGACGTAATCTCAGAGTTCAACGTTAGACGCCCGTTCCACTGGAAAAACAATGACCAGTACATGACAGTAAAGATTCAGTAAAGTAATAAATACCGCAAAAGTGCTCGTATCAGCCAAAAGAGGATTAAATTAGTTAAGTTAGTTTAGTAACCTGGACATAGTTACTACATTAACAGTTAATAAAGCAACATTTGAGAGTTAGTTTCTGCTTTTGTTTACATTAACACTGTTATTAGTTATTACCGTATTTTTCTGACTATAAATTGCACTTTTTTTTCATGGTTTGGGAGGTCCTGCAACTTATACTCTGGTGCGACTTATAGTACGAGAAATACTGTAGTTATTATTAATTATTTTTTATTTTATTTTTTATAATTGTATTATTGATTTTATTATTTAATTGTTGTGTTTTTTATTTTATTATTTATGTATTTATTATTATGTATTTATTTGATTATTATATTTTTATATTATTTTCATTAGATTTTTTTTTTTTTTTAGATGCTGTAGTTTTTAGTTTAGTCCCAATTTTTGATATGATGTGTGATGAAAATAACTGGATTAATTGAATCAAATCTGGAATGTATATATCCATAATCTGTAATGACGATAGCAGACTGCAGTTTACTTTACATTACAGTAATCGCCACTTGCTTAGCTCCTTGGAAATGTTACTGCTTTGTCTAGAATGTTCCACAGTATGGCTTTAAACATATCTATCTTACAGCTATTCGATTGCTAAAAAAAAATACATTGAAAAACTAGATGAGCAAAGTCACCTCGCCAAAGATCTGACCTATAACTTGGTTTGGTAACGTGACATCATCTTCTAGTTTCCATTAAGATAAGTTTAATGCTCTGGAACCAAAGCAATAATAATAATAATAAGATGAAGAACTTTTAAAAACAATGTGTACAAAGTGCCGTACAAGCCACAAAGAACAAAACAAAAAGCATAAAAATTGCAAATAGGCATACAAAAGCATACAAAAACAGACAATGATGCAAACAATTCAATTAATTACAATAAATAAATAAAAAGAAATAGAATAATTGGAAATAAGGAATAAAATCAAGCTAAAACCAGTTAAAGAAAGGCCAAATATAAAATAAAAATGGGTCTGAAGAAGTGATTTAACTAAAGTAATACCATCATTTCCATAGAGACAAGCAGTTGGCGGAACCTGGAACAGAAAAGTTACACAGTGCACCTTTAAAGCGGTGATGTTAAGCAGTTATCAGTAGTAAACGTAGCGGAGTGTTGTTGTTGTCCAGATAGATAGACAGACCGATAGTTTATTGATCTCATTGAAAATTCAAAGTGGACACAGTTTCTTTTTAAACCCGTGGATGAAATTGTTTTTTATTTTTGCCATGAGATAAATTTTGCTGTCCGCCTTGGATGTGTAAATCATCAGTGTGTGTCCTTGGGTTAGTGTGTGTCAGTGAGGCTGATAGAGAGGCAGAGGCTAGAGCTTATCGCCTCAGTCACGCCCATAACACACACACATTTGTAGTACGACATCCACAGCCCCCACTGTAACCCCAACCCCCACAATCAGCTCATTAAAAATTCACGAGAAAATGAATATCTGTGAGGTACAACCATTTATATTTATCTTATTTTGAGTTTTTGTTTTGTTTTTGTTCATTTGTTTGACTTCGATTTTGACGTCATTAAAATCGTAAGAAATGTTTTCAATATGTTTACGTCAATCCAGATTGCCTGAAGTAGAGAAAGATTATTTTCATTTTTTAATACCGCACTGTCGAACTTTCTTGGCAAACAGTAAAAGATCAATTGAAACAAGCAGAAAGATTGCAAAGTACACTTTAAATTGAAGTATTTTTTTCTAACATTGGTTTGAGTTGGAGTCTGTTTATTGTCCAAATACGAATTCTGAAATCAAATCACTGCAAAAAAAACAAACAATGTCGAAGTAAGTTAAAATGACTTAAATTAAGAATATTTTACTTTATTTAAGTCGATTCAACTTGACAAATAAAATTATCTGTAAATGGAATAAGTGTGTTTTTTGTAATTCAAGCAACATTTGATTTTGTTTCTTATTTTAAGTGTAAAAAGTTGTTGTTTTACTTATTTTAAGTGCAGCAAAATGTATTTTCATATTTTAAGTACAAAAAGTCTTGTTCCACTGGCAGATAATTTTACTTGTCAAGTGAAATTTACTCAAATCATCATAAAACTTTCTTAATTCAAGTCATCCTAGCTTGGCTAGATTTTAGTTTTTGCTTTGCAGTTGTTGACTATTTCAGTCATTTTCTTGTGTTAAAAGAAGTGAAATAATTAAGACCTGCAAAATAATACAATTTTAGACAAGAGCTCAAATTATGATGAATATTTCAGTTCCGTTTTCAGTAACAGATATTTTTTGTAGTGCGTTATCCTTGCTTTTCTCACATTTCTCTAACCAATGTGAACTAATCCCTCAAATCCCTCATCCGTAGCATAGTCACAGCTCTGCGCGAAGCTAATCTAAACTGATCCTGGTTTTAAATCGCCTTGTCATTTTGCTTCTTGACTGGAAAATCCTGAGTATCTGTCTCTTCTTCTCTTCCCTATTCGTTTCCTTTGCATGTCTAATGTGAAACTACGCCCCCTTCTGGCCTCTCTCTCCTCATCTCGTGCCATTGTGCGGCTCCATGCACGTGATCTTTGGCTCTGTCTTACTCTTTCCAACCCCATCCCTATTTCTCTCCCTCAGCATGGACGTTCAGAGTTTTCATGGGAAGGAATCAATGTAAGTGTTGTGGCATCGTTCCTTCATCTATAGCTCACCTCGTTTATTTGTGTTTTATTTATTCACTGCAAAAATGTGTGTCTCTGCAGATACAAAGATTGAATTGAGTGTTTTAATCTTGCTGTGAGTAGGTTTTAAATCAGTTTATGAAAGTCAAATAAAGGGCTTCATCTGCACAACAAAATTACCAGCTCTTTTGGCTAACCTGATCAGCATGTTTTTGAGGGAGACCGGAGAATCCAATGGACACCCACACAACTCTACACAGAAAGCCCTTGTACTGGGAATTGAACATATAACTTCATGCCATAAACCCTCAATCACCATGTCTCACTCTTGAAGCAACAAAATATGTTTAAAGAAATACCCTTATTGTGTTTTAGGCCAGACAAGTCTCTCAAAGTGCGACACTGTAGTCATGATTCATTCACTTCCAGTTCAGTGGTGGCTGGTTACTTCAGTAGCCACTAGGGATGTAACAATAGCCAAAATATCGCTATATCGTATCATCAACGTTCTCACAATAATATCGTGGGCCATCACAATATATTGAATTACAAGTCTCTTTTCTTAAATTAAGAGTTATGGTGCAGCAATGGCTAAAAAAGACAGAGGGAACTACACAGACCATGATCCTTTGCTCCATTTCAGTGCAGACTACAAGAAGAAATAGCAGTTCTAAGCACTTTTAAGTCTTAGTTCTTTGGATTAAGTCTTTAAGTCAAGGCATTTTAAGAGGAAAGAGTAACATATTAACAGTTTTGTTCGCCTCCACAAAATATCGTAATATACATGGTACCGTGAGATGTTTATTGTGAAAATATTGTGTAAATATAGTAAGAGATTTGGATATTGTTACATCCCTATTCGTGAGCCTCACCACCATATTGTGACCTTTCCTAGCCAGACTGGAGCCACCTAGTGCCTCTGCTCAATTTCATTTCTCTCCAGCGACTAGGTCAGGAATCAAAATACACTAGACGGTTCCCAAAAACCCCAGAAGTGCAAGTTCAGGCACCAGCCAATCAGCGAAGAGCCATACATTCTGTGTTGTCAACGATTCCCGAGATCAAGGATTTAAAGCCAGAATAAAGAGAATGTTTGGTGAATTTCATCAAGAGGAAAGACGTTATTGTCCTTCTTCCTACGGGATTTGGGAAAAGCTTAATATACCAGTTAGCCCCGTTAGTGGTGCATTACATACGTGACTACGAAATAGCAGCGATTGGTTAAATGATAAAAAGTACCTGGCTACCGTCGAGTGAACGAATTCTAACACTGTGAGGTCAGACGATTTCACTTCGTAGAAATCGTCTAGAACTTTCCCACGATATCGCAGTAAATATCGTACCATGAGGCTCATACCGTGATGATATCGTATCGTGAGACTTGGATATCGTTACACCCCTTGTAGCCACAGCTGCCCTGGGATAGACTGATGGAAATGACGCTGCCAATCTGCGCCACCACAAAGTTAAGACTACTCAAAACAAGATACATACTCTGAACTGAAGTTGTTTTAAGACATGTGTAGATATGCCTTTTTGCAGTGTTTATTGTTGATTTGAGTCACCCTTTTAGCTTCGGGCTCTACCCTCTCTCACCCCACCACTCCTGCTTTGCAACTCTTTCAGTTCCAGTTTGCCATAGTCGTAGTGTTAGTTAGCACAAGTTTACTACCACAAAAGCAAAAATGGGGTAGCTATAGATACAAATATTTTGTGTCACAATGTATTAACCCTTGCATCTACGTCACCTCTCTTCACTCACCTGTCACTCTCTCTCTTTTGAACACGCCTCAATGTGGTCACATGCTCCGTCACTCCTCCTCCGCTCCTCCACTCTCTCCATCCCTTGTTTTTTTTTCTCCTTTCTTCCTTTTTAGCTCTCTATGGAGGACACTACGTCGATCCTGCCTCGGTTGAAGAGGAACTCAAACGCGTATGGGATCGGGGCATTAGCTAAGTCCTCTCTGTCAGGTGTGTCAGGTGTGTGTCTGTCCTGTAAAATGGTAAAACGACCCCATGTTGGCCCAGTGCTCTGCGGGGCATCCGGGTCAGCATGGTACCCGAAAATGGGTTCCCCTCCCCCCTTCAAAATCACTTCCTCTTCACACGCTAAAACCCCTCGTCAATGGCTCGTTTTAGAGTCATTGATGTAACAGAATTCAGCCTGGAATAACATAGCAGTGGTTCTCAAACTGTCGTATCCGAACCATTTGTAGATCTTAGGACTTAGTTCATGGTAAAAGTCCTGCAGTTAGTTTGAACAAGGTTTAGATCTGAACCATGTTAAAACCTTCCTTAAATCCTAACTTAAACGGACAAATTTAAATTACTACGAGCATTCAGAGCTTTCATTTCACTCTCCCATGATTATCTATGAGGGGAGTCATAGAAACATGGTCACATTTGTAACTATAATTCCATGTTAGTTTATTCTTAGTTTAGACCAGGTTTAGATTTAGTTTCAAGCAGTTTCAAGAATTTAAAGGTGCTCTGTGTAACTTTTCTGGTCGAGTGTCCTCCACCTGCTTGTCTCATAAAAATGTGACTGCCTTGCCGGGAATGTTCCACAGTACGGCATTAAACTTATCTTGCATTTATTCAATTCCAGCCTTCTCTATTGCTCAAAAATAATAACGTCACTTGCTTGGACATAAATACGTTTAATTCTAGACTGTGGAGCAATTCAAATAACAGCACCATGAAACAAGCAGGTTGCAGAGTCTCCACCGGAAAAGTTACATGGTGAACCTTTAAAAGTAGGAGTTTGAAAAGGCTTAACAAGTTTGAGAATCACTGAGCTCAAACGCACCACATTGTCACACAGCTTGTTGCTCTGATAAAGGTGAGTGTAGTTTCATGTTGCGTGTGAACTGTTATGTGCAGTTCTAGTCTTCGTCTTCGTGTCCTTAAACAGTACTAGTTCGTATGTTGTGCCGACTCGAGTGCAGTGTAGTGAAGTGCTTTTGTTTTTGCAGTATTTTTGTGCAGTACAGTTTAGTGCAGTCTACTGGTGCTGTGGTGAAACTGACGCTGCAAAAAACAAATATCTCTAGATTGGTTAAAATGACTTGAATTCAGAATGTGTATCTTAATTTTAGACTCTTTTTTAACTAGTTTAGATTTATTTATTGCATCTTATACACTTTAAACTCTAACAAATCAAGTACACTTAAAGTTGGGAAACCTTAGAAGAACGTAAGTACATTGCTTATCTCTATTTTATGATGTTTGATGATTATGATGTCTTCTGAAATGTAGAAAGTAGTAAAAATAAAGATAAAAACAGGTGTGTTCAATTGGTAGCGTAATTTACTGAACAAATCCAAGTAAATTTAAATCACTATCTGCAATATCTATATATATTGCTTACTATTTTTACTACTTGAATCAATTCAGCATATTAATCTTAGAGTTTTTTTTTCTAGTTTAGATTTATTTACTTGTTACTCTATATAGTGACTTATTTCAGCGGATCTTATTTTCCATTGGGATAAGAAAATTGCACCATTGGCAGCTTTACTTTTAAAAGTCAAGATAAACGATCTGGAAACCAGTTAATATGAAAAATCTGAGTTCAAGTCATTTTAATCCATGCAGATATTCCTTTTCTGCAGCGTTGTCCCATAATTTATTCCTATAATTTATTCATAAATCTCATCTCCATGCGCCGCCATCAGAGAGAATCAAGCATGCAGGGATTTACAGTATGTCATCGGCAGTTGGCCTCAAAACATATGGAGGATGGTTCCACTGAATATGGCAATGTAGCAGAAAATTTATTCTAGTTTATGTTTGCATAGGCGCTTTATTTTGCCTGCAGGGAAACTTGTCCTCTGCATTTGACCCATTCGTTAACGCCACTGGGGAAAACCTCTCGAGAGCAGTGAGGCCGCAGTGAAGCCTCGTGACCCATCAGACCTTGAGCTATAGGTTTATGATCAGGAGCTGGTGGATTAGCTAATTGTGCACATTTTGGTTAAAGGGCAAAAATCGACAACTTCGTACAGACACAGGAAAAGCAGGCAAACCCTACACAAAGGTTAAGTTAAGGTTACGGCGTGAGGGAAATTCATTCTCTGCATTTGAGCCATACTTCATCCATTGCCGCTGGAGCAACCTGTCAAGAACAGAGAGTTACGGCGTCACACCTCTCAGGCACACATCTTCAGATCTTGCAATTGTAGTTTTGGTCAGGACTATCGTAGCTGGAGGATTTTACTTATCGAGCACACACTGAGACACGCATGCAAACTCTGCCCGGTCCAGGAGCTGAAACCGGAGCTTTGCGACGAAGCGTGAGGGCCGCTCAGATATAGCAGACGGCATTGTGATATAGGATATATGATGTTTCGTATCCAGTGCCGTTTAGAGGCAGAGGACTGAGCACTATCATGTCAATAAGCCAACCTCTCATTATTCATGCCACTCGGACACCTCACCCCAATTAACCTGTCCTCTCCCATGGTGCACCTTTGTCAGAGGAGATGCATTCATTCTCCTGCTCCATCCCCAACAGTCGAAACAGGAAAGGATTATGTTTACCACGCAAGCACCACCTCAGCAGCTTTAGGCATTTAGCTGTTTTTATACACACGCTGCTAAAATACATATCTATGCTTAAAATGACTTATGTTAATATAGTTTTTTGGATTAGTCTGGCTTTATTTACCAATAAAAGTCTTGAATCTTTAACTGAATTTCACAAGTTTTGAAAATAATTTGACTTTTCAGAATATAAATATGCTAAAATTGCAGTGTGACAGTTCTGAATTTTGGACATAGGATCTTATTTCCTAGTTATCCAGAGTGTTGGAGATGTGTGAAGACACTTTTTAAAATATTCCATCCAGTCCTTGTATTTGCAGAGGTCACTGGTGCTAGGCTAGTGCATGTCAATGGCCATAGTTATCCTGCCGCTAAAAACACCCACTTACCCACTCCACAAAATACCCGAAGCAAATCTATTATTACACCAGACTGTCAATGTAAATGTCTGTGTTGATAGAATAATGTTTGAAATAAATCTAACCTTGCATCGCATGAATCGTCGCATGTTGAGGGACTATTTTCTCATATATCAGTCCGCTGTTGCCAAGCTTTCTATCAGGAAGTACAACTCACTGCTGCTGCTCAGACATAAATCCCTCAAATTCAAGGTTGGTTTAACTTCTAAAATTATTCTATCAACACAGACATTCACATCGACAGTCTGGTATAATAATAGATTTGCTTCGGGTGTTTTGTGGAGTGGGTAGTGGCAGGATAACTATGACCATTGACATGCACTAGCCTAGCACCAGTGACCTCTGCAAATACAAGGACTGGATGGAATATTTTAAAAAGTGTCTCCACATGTCTCCAACACTCTGGATAACTAGGAAATGACGTCCTATGTCCAAAATTCCGGACTGTTCCTTTTAATGCTGCTAATGTTAATGAATTACTTGGAAACAAGATTAAACAACACTACAATTAGAAACCTACTTTTTTTACTAGCAAAGTAAACTAGTATAAAAACTAGAAAAGTTGCACAGTGTTTCTCACAGGTTTTTACTGAGACTAACGTGACACAGGCGATCTCTGTGTCAGATTACATTTTATTGGATACAGTTTGTATAGAATAAATCTCTATTGTCTCTGCTCATCAAAAAAAAGCTTGTTTTTAGTCTGTGGGGGTAAAAATTTTACAATGGGGGGGCTGCTACTCTAATGAGAAACACTGAATTACATTTTTCAGTGTAGAAAGTAAAAGTTTTCAGTGTCAGTGATATAAACTATTCAAAATTACTCACGACTAAATTATGATTACTGTTATGAACTGAAGGGATTTTAGATATAATTTTTCTTGCAGTCTATTTAGAACAAACTAGCAGAAAGCAAAAACAAATCCACCAAACCACTCCCTCATTTCCACCACGCTGAATTCACATCGCGATACCACATTCTCTCCATCACCTCCACCTCCTCTCTCCCACTCGCTCCTCTTACTCCCTCCTGTTTCTCTGCGTAATATACTGCTGTGTCTTCCTTTCCTTTGGGCGACACTCACCTATAACAGGAGTCACCCGCTCGATGAAGGAGAGGGTGACCAAGCCCACAGCCATGGCTCAGGGCCGCGTCGCGCACATGATCGAGTGGCAGAACTGGGGCATGACGACGGTGGGGGGTCCACAGTCCCGCATCAGCACCAAGGAGCAGGAGAAGGCTCGGCGGCTTGAGAACGATGCGTACAGCGATCTGAGCGACGGAGAGAAGGAAGCACGCTTTGCTGCAGGTCAGTCCCATCAGGTTCATTTGGTTTTCTGATCATTTATTTTAACAGATTTTTTTTTCAGACCAAGTTTTAACTTGTTTTCATGCTTGACTGTTTCAATTGCACACTAGCGGTCTTTTTCAGAATGAATGTCGCATGATGTTGCTTCGACGTTAAAAGGTTTAAAGGTGCATTGAGTAACTTTTTTGGCGGAGGGTCCATCACCTACTTGTTTCTATAGATATGTCATTTCTCTGCCTAGATTGTTCCAAAGTATGACATTAAACAGCTACCTTACATTTAGTCAGTTACAGGTGGTTTTATACATAGAAAAACAGGTATTCTGACTGTGAGTGGGATCACCTCTTCGCAGATCTGACCTATAACCTGGTCTGGTTTGGTCTCCAAGAAGATAGAAAGGTTTAATTAAACACTGTGAAACATTACAAACAAAGCAATAACATTTACATGGAGAAAAGCATTTGATGGACCCTCCCTCAGAAAAGTTACACACATGCTCTCCTAAAAGTAACACGATGCACCTTTAAGTCAGACTGCAGATGGTGCTGTCGTCCTCCCTTCACCAGTTGGAAGACAGCGCCAAAACCGGTTTAAATCAGCTGCCCAGACAGGTCACGGTAGCATTACGCAGTATGAAAACAAACTAACATTGGCCTGAAAAAAAATCTATTAGAATAAATTGCTGCAGATCATTGTGATGTTATACACTTTTTTACAGAGGGATGTTACTCTCCTCAAACTGAAATGACACAAAAGCTGCTGTTAAAGGGCCACTAAACACCAAAATTGCTTTTTTTCTACTGATTAGCTGTGTAAATGGGTCTAAAATAGAAATGTATACCTATTCCCTGGTCTTATTTTGGCATTTTAGTGGATATTTGTAAAAAATCCATATCTCTAATGGCCTCTTTGGGATCAACTATGACCACTACATTTGAAATTTTGGGTTGGAGTAATAGTCTCCAATGAGTCAGATGCAGGTTATTATGTTACGAACACAGTCACTGGCATCTAAGGGTCCTACATTAGGAGCCCCTCTCAGCCCCGCCCCTACCTGGCACTGCTGGTCTCTGCGATGTCCCGCTGTGTCTGGAGAAAATGGAAATGTCGTGATGCGAGCACAAATGTCCACTCTGTTTCAAAGTCTGGAGCGCCATGTTGGATTGTTGTGGCTGTCAGTCAGCTGTCAATCCAGAGCCCACCTCACACCCGCTCCACCAGCCCCGCCCACTCTGGAGGATGTTTCAGATTTTACTTAGGATCAGAGTAAAGCTTCGGGATAGTGTTTAATGGCTCTTTACGCTGCACAGGAGCTTTGTTTGAGTCATTTATTACAATTATATTTTGGTCTATGTGGTCAAGTTGCTTCTCACGTATAAATAAAGTTATATTGAGTTGAAAATATACTGCACAAATTGTTCTCTACAATATCTAAAACATGACATGAATTAAAAGTACATTATGTCATTTATCTAGTGGAAGATCTGCCATTAGCTTGTCTTCATGGAGTTGTTATTGCTTTGCCTACCTTCCAAAATATGGCATTAAACCAATTTAATGTCACACTATGGAACAATCCAGACAAAGTATTTACATCTCCAGCATGAAAATATAACTTGATCTGACTAGTGTTTATTTTTTTAAATCTTTATTAGCTGTATCAACACACATACAGCCACTGAGCAGGACACTGTTAGTTCTGCTTGTGTGAGTGGTGGTTGTTTGGCCTGTCTCATTAACAAATTTTTAATCACGGTATATTGCTGCAGAGGAACATTGCAATAAATTATAATATTGACACTACAATAGCAATAAAGCAAGATAATTCCAGTAAACCATTATTTGAATAGACAGTCTCATTAAAAGGCCTCAGCAGAAGCAAATAAATACCAGAATGAAGCAATAATTAGCCATAGAAGTAATTTATTCACCTCTCTCCAGCTTATATCTTACGTTATTACATAAAAATAAGAAAAATCTTCCCACTATTGCAAAGAAAATGTACACATCATAAATACTGAGTCCCAAAATATACTATTCCTGCTTTCATATGTTGAACGATAACTTAATATTATAATTATTGTGACAGGCCCAGTGGCTGTAGGACCCCAGGGCAGATGTTGTAGCAGAACCAAAACAAAACAATAAAAAAATGTGTCTGAGCTTCTGAAATGAAGATGAATATTCTCAATTCAAGCCATTTTACCTCATGTTGATGCACTGTATGTCATTTGTTCTGTTGCTTGTGCTGTTGCTATGTTACCGCGCTCCTCTCTGTGACCTTTCATTTATTATCCTAGGCATCTTGCAGCAGTTTGCAATTTCTGAAGCAACGCTCTTGGCCTGGTCGTCTATGGATGGAGAGAGCCCAAGGTCTGGGTCTAACCAGGGCAGCGTGGCACATCTGAGCGAGGTCAACCAGGAGAGCATCACCAGCAGAGGTAAGGACAACTAGAGGTCAAACGTATCCATGAGTTTCACAATGACGAATATTAAGACCATTGCCATAGTGATTTTGCCTGAGATCCATAATATACACTTCCCTCCGTCCGTACATATACGTCAGTTTAGGAAAAAAGTAAGGAAAAAATGTCACACGATGCTGAAAAACATGGCAGATTTATGCAGAATCAAAGAGCAAAGCATTAAACTCTGCTAATCTGAGGTGACAGAAATGTGATTTTATTTGTAAATGATGGATGACCAATGAGCTCCTTCATTTCACATGCGTCACTGAAATAATCTAATCTGATTACACGGCCATATTTGGTTCTGGCTCTTGACGCAATGGAGGGCGTGCTTTACCATATCCATCTGAATAAAAAATACAGAAAGATAGCAAATTGGGATTATCATTTTAAAACTAAATATTACATCTTTTGACTGATTTTTCCAATCTTTTTTGCATACATATATGTTTCTAAAATGCTGTACTGATTATTTCAATTGAAGGCATTTTTGTACAGTCCATAAACACAATATAACTCAAAATTGACTTAACCAATAGAAAGTTAGAATATTAAACAATGAAGAAGTCATTGTCAGTATAACGTCAATAGAAACAGCAGCAACAAGCAGATTGATTGATGACATTAACATAATAAAAGCTGCCCAAACTACTTGGTGAGCCGTACAAATTAAGATGTTAGACATTTATTAGAAAAGAGTCTATCAGTTAAAACAATAAAATAAGTTAATACAGACTGTCAAATATTTAAAGATGCAGCAAATCATCTTGGCTTTGAATCCCGGATTAGACAGTTTGCTGAATGTCTCCTCCCTACTCGTCCCCCTTTTTTCCACCTGTCATGCCCAATGATGACCAAAAATGTGAAAATAAAAAAGACAAGACGGCACTGCTGAGTTGAAAACCAGAGAGTAGAGGTAATTTTCAAACAGATGTGCCCGGTGCTGATCTAAGTGTAGCATTAGCAGAATCACATATGTGTCTTTGTAATGAGGACACACTGTTCCATTTCGTGTGGCTGCAGGATACTCATTATTCATCTCAATGAAACTAAAAGACACTGCATCTGTTTCAATTGTCAGTTTGAAATATGTTTTTAATACATTTCCCTACATTAGTGTTAATCTCTAGTTCTTTGACATTAAATGTACTGCATTTGTGATTTTAAAAAGCCTTGGATTGTGCTTTATTGTGTCTCTACAAGCTATTAAGTTTTATTTAACCATTAGCATAAAATTATTGCATTTTTACAGTAAGGTAGCTGTGTTAAGTGTTTACTGGCTTAGTTTACTCTTCCCTGGAGAACACTACTGAGTTGCCTGAGGTGTTGAAGTGTGTCAAGCTCAAATGTTCACAATGTATATTTCTGTTATAAAACTTGCTAAGGTGCAAAGATATCATTTTATTTAGCCTCCAGTCAAACTCACTAACAGAACAAATGTGATCAAAGTCAGAATATAAAGTAGATTTTGTGCATTCAACAGCCTGGAACAGTGTAAGTGCTGAACGCTTCAGTCAGAGCTGTTACAGCACATACAGCTCTAACTCTGCTCTCTCTCTGTGTTTCAGATCAGATCCTGCAGCACACGGCCGCAGAGGTCTGGCCACACTCGTACGTCTCACAGGGACATTACTGCCTGTCATCCTCTGAGGCCTGGGACCCCATCAGCTCGAATCCCTCCGCTGTGACGTCCCCCCCGCCAGGCTCCTTCGTCATGGGGTCTGAGGTGACGTCCCCTCCTCCCGGCTCCTTCGTCATGGGGCCTGAGGGCTACGATGGCCAGGCCGCTCACTTCCTGCAGCAGCAGCAGCAGCAGTTCAACCTGCAGCAGCAGAGCCAGCTCCAGCAGCTGCAGCAGCTCCAGCACTACCAGCAACAGCAGCTGCTGCAGTACCAGCAACAACAGGTGGGGGCGCTAAGCACAGATGGATGACCTTAATCACAAGAAACCTGTGAGCGTACTCACTGTTGCTGCGAGCTGCTCCAAAGGCATTCATCTTTAAAGTCTCTGAGCCTGCACCCACATAGTGCTGATGTGAAGATTCTCTGCACAAAGCTCTTCTCATGTGCTACGTTGTTTACACCACCACATGTTTAAACATCAACAGTTTCTTCTCTACACATCCATTCATGTTTACCTGTTTGTGCATCCTCACATGTAGCCTCAGCTCTGATCTGATCTTTCTTCTTCTTTTCTTTCTGATCCTGTGAAATCCATGTGAGTAGTTGCAAAGCGCCAACCACTCGTTACAAGCGACGCCCAACAGCACCATCCACAGCCTGGTGCACCAGGTTCACCCCCCGCTGGTGGACCTGTGGAACACGGGGCAGATGGAGGCGTACCAGGCGGAGGCGGGGGGCTACATGGGGGTGTCGGCTGTGGTGGAACCCGGCTTGTGCGCACCCTCGGGGGATGAGATGGTGGGGAGTGTGGGCAGTGAACATTCTCCGCTGCTGGAGCAGCAAGAGGAAGAGGAGGAGGTCAAGGTAAGGTCAACACGTGCTCAGCTTACATAAAATAATGATATGAGCTGTGGAACAGTGAAGCAGAGGCGCTATAAATCATTATTACGTTTTCCACATACATATATATATATACATACGTGGTTTTCACATATGTAAGGCTACATGGTAATGTTCTGTTGTGTGTAAATGATCTTTTGTCAGCAGCTGCTCTGTCTGATGAAAGGCCTGTGTTTTTCAGGAAGAAGAGGTGACACTGTGCATGGAGCAGGAGACCGCAACACTGACCCCGCCCACACAACAAGGGGACGCCTCGGGGGGCAGTAGTCCGGGACAACCGCCGTGCGAGCCAATCACAGAGCGGCAGGCCTGTGATGTCAACGCGCTCAGTCAAACACAGGAGCAGGAGCCAGAGGGGGAGGGGCCAGCCGCGGCTATGCCAACCAACTGAAGTCAACTGTCAAGAGACTCCTTTTTACGAACTGACCTGGGAGCTGAAAGAAGCATAGTAACATCATATATATCTATTATTCTGTTCCGTTTCAGGTTCAAACTCAGTCCATTGGTCATGGGGGGGGAGGGACATTGACTGCGAGTCAATAGAAATGATGCAAAGGACTCCTCTTTGTTTGTACGCCTTACATCCCAAAGGAACCGAGCGGCAGCAGACTGTGGCATCTCCATCAGGGAATCAAACTCCCATTCGATCCAGAGGAGGTCCTGGAACATGCATGCTTTTATGAAGACAAAAAAACCCTGTCACATCCTCCAATAATAACAAACCACTATAGGACATTATAATAAGAATAATTTTCTAATAAAGCGATAAAATTAATACAAAGAAAAATACGTGTATAATACAATTTTAATGTTTTCCATTGGGAGAACTAAACTCTGTTTACAGCTTATCCACATATTAGATAGTGTTTAATCAAATTATTATCCCAGACAAAAGATAAAGGATTCTCCAACAGACCCAAACTTCTCCCAGTGTAATGAGACTGCGCCGTGTGTTTCAGTGAAATGCACCAGAGGATTAGTGGCACCAGGAGGCCTCCTGCACTGGCACTGCACACATGAGCTTTGTGCTTCCTACTGTTTGTCTGTGTGTATGCATGTTCTACTATGGAGTACCTGTCCTATACAGCACTGTATAGACTTTGCACTGAACCATAGTGAGCTGGTGGACTGGGGGCTGTAACGAGGAGCAGGGGGAGGAGAGGGAAGATAGGGAGCGGAGGATTTTATGGAGAGAATTATGAGGAAGTAAAGACAGAGCTGCATAAGCAAATCTTTTTTTGCACTGATGCAATCCAACAGATCAGAGGCTGCCTTTGGACTGTTGTTACCACCCATCACTCGAAAGCTTTCCACTCCACCACAACCAAAACGAGCCACTTAACAACATGAACCCTCAGACGCTTTTCAAGGACAGAGCTGCGAAATCTCAAGACAATAACTACTATTTGAATGTACTGGAGGCCAGAGGGCAGTACATATTTTTAATCACCCATTGAAGGAGGAGAGTTCAAAGAAGATGGTTGGAAAGAAACAGTTTTCACTTTCAGATTCAGCGCTGGTTAAACTTACACCTCCACTGTCTTGACACACAAACACATGCAAAACATTTATCTAAATTGTAACCAGCAATAGGCAGACTACACTGGGTAATTGCCTGTGTGAGCTGTCATATAAGTGTACATAAAGAATCGCCTCTTAAGAGCTGTTCAATTGCTGTTTGATTTCTTACATCACATTTTATCTTTCATTTCCACAATTTCATTTTTGTTTGCGCCACAATCCACACACAAAAGGAGATGGGTGAATGTCGATGCTGTAAATAAAGCAATTACCCGATGAAACTATTGGCGACAACTTGAAGAAAGATTTTGGTTTTTATTTTGAAAGGGACAACAGTATCAGGGACCAGAACAGAAGACTTTTAAACTGAAAAGTAGATCGGTGTCTTCCTGCTCATCGCGATTACTGTGAAGCAGCGACTGAAGTGTGAAAGTTAATACAGTAATATGAAACGGAAGTGTTTTTATTTTATTTTTTTTTATTCTTTAAGGAGCTATGTTTGATGGACAATGGACTTTTGTGCATGATCCACTTGAAAATCATACAGCCATCTTTATCATTGCTTTCAGTTGGGGAGCACGACCTCCTCTCACTCCAATGATTGTGTGAGGAACTTTTAAGATAAAACAAAAACTGTTTATTGACTTGAATGAATTTATTTATGAATTGCTTCTTTATGCAATGTTGGAACAATGTTTATTTTTATACTTGACTTGTTGAAATCTGAAGTCTAAGTTGGCGTTGGTGTCAGGCTTGTAAAGCACTCTTGTTTTATTCTGGTTTTGAGCACTTTACACGGATGATTTTTACAGTACAACGGGCCTGGTAGTTCTACATTTAAACATTCTGTAAAAAAGAAATATCAAACATGGGTTAAAATGACTTGAACTTAGAATATTGATCTTCATTTGAGTAGTTTAAGTAGACTTTGTATTGAAACATCACCCCTTTCTCTGTAACTGCTGCTAATAGGATCCACGTAAAACGTCCGTATTAACCCACTCTACATGATTCTGGTGTTTATTGTTGCTATTTCGCTATTTTGTCCATAAATCAATTTATATGGAACTCGGATCCAAATTCACTCTTGTAACTGCCCGTTTCAGTGAGCTTCATTTGACTGGAGCTGAACACTATAGATGATCTCACACTCCCTTAGTCCACTTCTTTATTTTTAATCTTTTTTTTCCAGATAATTTGCATAATTTCTTGCATAAATTCATTCACTCCTCATTCACTTGATATTGGTAAGCTATTTCTGTAACCACAGCTGCCCTGAAGTAGTGTGACAGAAGTTGTGGCTGCCAGTCTGCGACCTTCAGCCCATCTGACCACCACCAATCCCTCACACAAACACATACCACTTTCATGCAAGTTGGTGAAGTGTCTCGCAAAAGGACACAACAATGTCTAGATATATGTCTGGATAAACTGTTAACTTTTGGGTGAGTGGGCAAATGCTTTAACCATTTAACAAATTCACTTAAATGTCCTAGTTTATGTAACATGTTCCATTACATTTCTCACTGGTTTAAAAGTTAACCCCACAAATATGCAACAAACCATTTGGATCAAGATATAAGCCAACATAGCAGCTGCATTCCCCCCCAGTCCCTGATGGTTCACATGTAGGACTCTCTTAGGAACCTTTGGCAAGTACTTGTTTCTAGTTATTGCAAATTTGCAGCATATCCACATTTCTATTTTTTATTTTTTTTTTGCTATAGTCAAATTAATAATCTCAACTTAATTTATGATTTACTTAAAGGCAAAAACACACACTAAACATTTTTTTATATACGTCTATAGAAATTCAGGTGTTAAGGGGTTACCAAATCTCCCACTGGGGTTGTGAAAAATTCTCACTCCTTAATAACAAAATAAATACTGAAACAAGCCATTAACATCCAGAAACAAGTATAAGTATCTACGTTCAACGAGTAAGTTTGTCAGAACTACTCAAAACAAGATCCATATTTTTAATTCAAGTCGTCAAGTCATTTTAACTACTACATAGTCTTTTTTACTGTGTAACTAAAGAAGCCCTGCGCTGACACCGGCAGATGACACAAATCCAGGGCTCAAAACTGCAAACAGAATGTCTTTACACAACGGCACACCTTTGTTTATCTACATTTAATTTTTAGGAAGAAGAAAATGTGAAACCTTGTACAAAGTGAATCCTTTCGGGCATGAACGCCTCGGGGAGCAGTTTCTTTTTGTCATTGAGATTTATGGATTTGCTGCTGAAAAAAAAAAACCTGGATGTTTTATGAGTAAATACACTGCAACAATATCTACATGAGATAAAATGATTTGCATTCGTCAGCTGAATTTTACCGATTTAAACTTTTTTTTAAAAATGTAGTTACATATTGGACCTAAATGATTTATCTTGTATATCTGAGGTATTTTAAAGGTGCACTTTGTTACTTTTTGTCTCCATGGAGATAGTATTGCTATGCCTGAAATCCTCAACAGTAAAACAAAACTCTAAAATAAGCTAAACCATTTAGTTTAGTTTAGTTTAGAGTTTTGTTTAGTCTCTCGTAACTATCTCTCTATAATGTTGGAGACAAGCAGGCCAAGTTACAGGTCAGATCTATGGAGAGGCGGCTAAGAATGCATATTTTTAAATAATAAATAAAGGTCCTATATTACTCAAAATAGACTCTTGTGAGCTGTGTGTTATAATGCTGCTGTTACTCCACAAAAAACATATGTGGAGTTGTGTTTTGTTTCATGATTAATCTGCCTACATCTCCAGACCTCAAAATGCTCTGTTCCACCTTGTGATGTCATGTAGTGGTAGTTTTCAAGGTAACAGCTCCTTTTACCTTTTCTCATTAGAGATTGGCAATTCTACATCTGAAATAATCCAAATTATTCTAGTGAAGGTGTATGGACATTGAAGAGGAGCACTTCTTGTATTACAACATGACATCACAAGGTGCAACAGAGTGCTTTCTGTTTGAGAGAAGAACTCAACCTAAATATGCAGGGTTTGTGTGTTAAACAAAACACAACTCCAGGTTTGTTTGTGATGAAGAAACAACATTATAACAGAGATGAGAAAATCACATAATATATATATTTTTTTTAATGTTGTGCAGACCCTCCCCCAGAAGTTACATACTGCACCTTTAAGTAATTGGTCCTTATTTCAAGCTAAATTATCTGCATTTGGGATAAGGATAAATGGCATCCACTAACCCAAAATCTTTGGTTCAATTTCACTCTAGCCATTGAGCAAGACACTTCACCCAACTTGCATATATATTGCCGTCAATTGTAGGTGATAGTTAGAGTCCAGATGGCACCACTCGAAAGCCTCACTTCTGCCAGTCAACCCCAAGGCAGCTGTGACTCGAGTATTTATTATGAGTCATTTTAACTCATGTAGAGTGTCCTTTTTTATAGTGTAAGTGACTGCATTGAAGTTGAAAAGACACTGCTTCAATTTGGGTTAATTTCTTGCTATTTTGCTGATGGAAAAATACGAATGAATGATTAAAACTAATAACAAGAAGCCAAATATTTGTGTAAAAATGTTAAGGTGTACCAATCATGTCTCTGTTAACGCACTGATTTGCAGAATATCTTCCTGTTTTTCTATAATTCTACTGCCATCTTCTAAAAAAGACTTGCAGGCATGGCGCTCTATGGTCCGTGGTCCGCTGCCTTCTCTCCCGCTCTCTCTCTTTCTCTCTCTGTACCTGCTCTGTGCACTGTGTCTGACTGTGTGTATGTCTATGTGCAATAGCTGTCCGCAGTTCTGTTCGAGAAATCACTGCCTGGAGAAGTCAAACTACCATGTTTCTACTTTCTACTAATTTTTTTAACCAAAGGGGACATAGGCAATCAGACGTGGAGCATGAGTACAATGGGGAGAGTTCATGTGGTGCCATAGCTGGATTTGAGAAGAGGCTATAGTTTAAAATTGACACAAAGAGCTGCCGAATTCTGTTGTAGAACTTTTTGTAGTTAGTTAAATGCACTGTACCTGATTTTTATTATCTTAAAAATGTGAAAAGTAGTTCATTTTAAAAGATTTACAGTGATCCAAAGTTATTCTGTACTTACCTTATGCATTCAGATCTTTCTAAACGTAAAAAGTAAACATCAGTATACATAAAACGTACAATAAAATGCTTTATAATTAGATGCAGTTAGAACACAGTGGATGTATTTTCACCTCAAGCTGCTTATACAATATATTTGTACTGTTTTACTCAAATACATGGGAAAATCAGGGACAGGGGGAACTTTAATACCTTTGAAATCGTTGGGTCTAACTACAGGAAACCAGCATTGTCACAGAATTCAAGCTCTTCAAGGGTCAAAAAGTGACAATATTACTCAAATACAAAGGTAGGACAGTAAGCAACGTGTTTTTTTTTGGACCAAATCCTCCACAAAAATAATCAGGTTCAACATTTGTACATAATCTGTTTAGAGGTTTAAAAAATAGTGAATCACCCTGCCCTCCATCTGACATTTTCATATCATCAAAGTCTACAACGTAACTCAACAAGATAACCTCTTATTTTTGTTGTAGTAGACTTGAAACACGCAAAAGCAGTCGAGGGACAGATCCACTGACCTACAGGTTGGCGGTGCTGTTACGTTTGGACACTTTTTGGTTTTTCCCTGCTTTCTTTTTATTGTTTATATTTTTTGTAGCATTTCTGCCTAGCTTTGTTCTTATAAGTTAATTATGTTTTTGTAGTTGTTTTTGTACTCATTTCCGGCACTAGGCCTTAAATGCCCGAGCCGCCTCGGAGCGCTCTCTCGCTCTCCTCCTCGTCCGCCGCCGCCGCAGGTACCGGGAGCTGCGCTGGGAGACGCCCTGCTGGCTCCCCTGCTCCATCGTTCTGGTAGCTTTTGTTTAGCCATTTAGCCTTTTGTTTGACCTGGTGGGACCGGCTGTCCTGTTTTCGCTTTTCTGTTGGGTTTAGGTTGTTGGGGTTTTTTTGTCTTTAGTTACGGGTGCTGGCACCGGCCCCGATGGTCTTTTGTTCCTTTTGGCCGGCTCACCAGGTCCACCTTTCCGTTGATACTTTTGGTTTGGGCACTGGTAGGGTTCCTTTTTTTGGGTTTAAACATCTCTGCACAAACAAAAATAAAAGAACTCTAAAATTCTACTTTGGTTTCCGTGTCCTTTCCTAAATATGTTGGGACTTTTTGGGTCGTAACAGATGCGAGTCCAGTTTCCAGAGATTAATGTTGTCTTTGTGTCCTTGGGCAAGACACTTAACCCACCTCGCTATTAACCTTAGTCACTACCTATTTTTTAACCCATATCTAAATTTTAAATGCTTTGACTCTTGTGATCTTTAATCCATATTAGAATACTATTACCTCCTCAAAAACATACTTGGAGTTGCGTTTTGTTTCATTCACACATGCTTGAATAACCCTTTATTATTAGTCTGTCTACATTTCTAAAGCTCAGTACACCCTGTTCCATCTTGTGATGTCATGAAGTGGTAGTTTCAGTGTCTATGGCTACCTTTTATCTTTAGTCTAGTTATAGATTGGCAATTCCAGGGCTGAAATTATCCAAGTAATTTTAGTGAAAGTGTGGGGCACTTCTTGTACTGTATTATCACATGACATCACAAGGTGGAAAAGAGAGTGAAATATGCATAGTTAAACTTGTGAATGGAACAAAAGAAAACACAAGGTATGTTTTAAGTTTATGTGTGTATATATATTTTTGTTGCTTGCTCTACTCCCATCCCGTCCCAGAGTACACTGTTTGTTAAACTCCGTCCCCACTTGTTGATGAGTGGAACATCTCAAACTAAAGAGCCACATCTGCGGTGACACGAGGCTGCTGTAGGCTTGTGAAATGTGGCACTCCTCTCCCACGCGCTTTCATTGTTTCTCCTAAAAATGTTCACTTTAAACTGTCAGCGCGCCACACAACTGTCAAAAGAAATCCCATTCATCATCGCGCCGTGGCAGCAGGATCTCGGACCAGATCCAAACTCATATCGAGGTTAATCTAAATGTTAATCTGAAAGTTCCGCCGCTCTGTGCCACCACGCCACCGTGCCAGTCGCCGCCGTGCTCTCAATCAGTTGGGACAATTAAATTTTTGTGGTCCCAATTCCCTTCTCAGTGAACGGAGCCTGATGGGTTTTCCAGCTGAAATCTTAAAGCGATAACATCATAAGATTCTTTGTTATGCGATTTGGCTGATGATAAGGCATCTGATCTTCTTCCCAGCTAAAAGAAAGAATAAAAACAAATTACTTTCTATCTCAGCTGTGTATGAATGAAAAATGGAATCTAATCAAAGGTAGTCGGGAGCAATCCAACAACAGCAAAAGGTTTAAATTTAGTTGATTCAACACGTGGGCCTTTTCCTGACTTTATTATTGTTCACATTCTCTATACCAGGGGTGTCAAACTCGAATTGACAGAGGGCCAAAATTAAAAACTGGGACTAAATCGTGGGCCAAACTAAATATTTATTGAAAGATTTCAACAACATCTGCATGTCCTGATTTACTGCCTTCTCCGTAAATCCTTTGTTGTTCTTCAGCCACATCGTTGTCATCGTCAGTAGCTGGTCCTGTGGTTGGACTCACTGGGAACCTAAAAGGAAGAAAGTGTGTTTTAAAAAAAGATTTAAACTTTATAGTGATGGCTCGTAGTAATACATTGGTTGAGGCGTCCAGTGTATATGCAAAGTCCATGTGGATGCGTGTCAGGACTAGAGCAGGACTGGACCAGGACTGGACCAGGGACCAGGACTGGACAGGACAGACCAGGACTGGACCAGGACTGGACTGGACCAGGACTAGACCAGGACTGGACCAGGACTGGACCAGGACTGGACCAGGACTGGACCAGGACTGGACCAGGACTGGACCAGGACTGGACCAGGACCGGACCAGGACCGGACCAGGACTAGACCAGGACTGAACCACGACCAGACCGGGACCAGGGACTGGACCAGGACCTGGACCAGGACTGGACCAGGACTGGACCAGGACTCAGGACTGGACCAGGACTGGACCAGAGACTGGACCAGGACTGGACAGGACTGGACCAGGACTGGACCAGGACTGGACTGGACCAGGACTGGACCAGGACTGGACCAGGACTAGACCAGGACTGGACCAGGACTAGGACCAGGACTGGACCAGGACCGGACCAGGACAAGACCAGGACGGACCAGGACTTGGACCAGGACCGGACCAGGACTGGACCAGGACCGGACCAGGACTGGACCAGGACTGGACCAGGACCAGGAACCAGGACTGGACCAGGACCTGGACCAGAACTGGACCAGGACCAGGACCAGGAC